GGACTATAGTCACTAGTTTTACCAGCATGGATGCATTGAATACTTAATTTACCTTTCTAAAAAACTGTCGAATATCCATGCTGTCGACTCAACCTGACTTTCGGCAATGAACTGTCAGTTGTTGCGTTAGCATTTGATGTGGCGATGGTGACAGACACCCTGTTGCGTTCAGGAAACCTGGGAGATTTAACATTACAATAATGGCAGGGTATCGAAATATAATTTAAAATGGCCACATTACATTGAATTTGATGCAATATATTAGCAAAAGTACAGGAAAAATAAATAATACTTTTTTTTAAATAATGCAATGAAATTATTTAGGGGGGCTAAAGACATTTTTAGGGAGGCAGAAGCCTCCCTAAAATAGGCCTAATGACGCCCATGATGTGACCCTTTAACCAACAACATTTTCCTGAACTCCACGATGGTGCCTTGTATGATCATCTGCCTCCCATTCATTTTGTCATTTTAAAAGACTTTAATTTTGCTTTGGCTTATCCCCTCCCCATTGCAATATTTATTGCTCTATGTCTTCCTCCAGAATATTCTTTGTACCTCTGTACCTCGTTGCCTCAAACACCAACATGCGCTGGGACTCCAAAAAACTCACCGATGAACGCAAAATTCCTTAGATAAAGCACTCACACAGTTCAAATGACAATCAAAGTTTTGACCACCAGGGGGAGATGTCTGGACATGAAGCCTCACGAGCTCAAACTTTTTTGTGAACCAGTTGGATGGACAGCTTCATGGGTTCAGAGGACTTCATCTGCCCATCACCCCAAAAAACAGGCCTTTTATATATTGTCGGCCACATAACATAATTGTCATTTTTCAATATTTTTGGAAGACAAGAAAAAAAAACCCACAATTTTTAGAACACACATTTTGGAGTTTTCTTGATATTGTGACAAAACCTTTGACCAGATCGGTGTACAAGTAAGCGACAGGAAAAATATCCAATTAAAAATCACCATGTTCTGCTCTGTATATGTCCTTCCGCATTTAGTTTTGTTTAGTTGGTGAATGTCAGATCGTCAGGACCGGGCCACCTTCATGGTTTGCGAGCTACTATTACAACTAGTGCTACTACTTGTTGTATTACTACTGTGATTACTGCTATTGCTACCTAAAAAGTGAGCCAGTCTGTAAGGTAGTGTGTGAATGTTAATACGTGCATGTGGGTAAAAAACAGAAGGAAAAGAAAGTCGAGTTTGTATCCCACTTGTCTGTTCTGTCCACTCGGACAGAGGGAGTTAGTTTGACTAAAAAAATCAGTTGAATTGTACACTGATTATTGGTCTAGGGCAGGGGTGGCCAACCCACGGCTCGCGAGCCGCATGCGGCTCTTTGGCTGGTTCAATGCGGCTCCCGGGCTTTCACACAATTGTCAAAAACGCATGGGTGATGGCGCTGCCATTAAAACAACGGTGCTTAATACACAGAACGTACTACATCAGCCTATCTCCAAGCGCGTTATCTGATTGACATAGAGGGCAACCAATCAGATGACTGAATCACCACTCATGTGCAGACAACGGCGCTAAGTGCTAAGCTAGTCAGCGAATTACCTCTGTTTTTAAGGCAGGGGTTCCCAATACGTCAATCACAATCGACCAAGAGCGAGCAGACTGGTCCCAAGTTGACCGCGAGCAGTAGGAGAAGGAAATTGGGGGAAAAAAAAAGATTTGTGTGTGTGTGTCTTTAGGTTTCATTTATGTTCAGGCGCTCAGGCTGTTGCTCGTCATGGCGTCCATGCATATGTGTGCGAGTGCATAGTCGTGTGTGTTTATGTGTGTGTGTATGTGTGCGAGTGTGTGTATTCATATGCTTGCACTTGCGTGATCGGGTCGATCGTGGGAGGTTGGTTGCTCCAAAAGTCGATCTTTGGACAAAAAAGTGTGTGTGTGTGTGTGTGTGTGTGTGTGTGTGTGTGTGTGTGTGTGTGTGTGTGTGCGTGTGATACAAAATACTCCAGAGAAATAGATTGGAAAGCAAATGCTTTAATTTGAGAATTACAGTGAAAGTTGTAATAATTTGTGATTTGTGTGGCTTGTCTTGTGTCACTCAAAACAATAAAAACTCTGAAAATATGCAGAAAATAATTCGCTCATTGTTCTTCAGAAATGGTATTTCTAAAGAGCAAATGTAAGCACATTTCAAATGAGCGTACCTTCTTTGCTTGGCCCATTATCTAGTTGAAGCATTTCATTTCTTGTTCATTTGAAATATTGCTCTTGCACGTACGGCAAAATACAAGTTCCAATTATTCCACCTTTGGTATTTATGTGCAAAGCTTAGTTGTATGGCACCTAAGCATCGTTGCAGACACAATGTATGTTTATCCGAAATGATGTGATGAGAAGGACAAATGAATCAAACCCCATCATTATTTCAGCTTTTGAAAAATATTCTACAATTCTTTCATAAACCGTAAAGTGATGCTGAGGAGGATTGAAATAAACATGGAACATTATGCTGGTTAATTGGATAAATCATTTGTGATCTCCGTTACAAATGGTTAAAATACAACAGTATGACTTCTTGCCACTGAACAGTTGTGCAAACAGCAAACTGGTGTTACTTCTTCATATTAATGCCGATGTGCATATTTTTTTGCAAGCACTATAATTGCAGCACATTAATATAGTTCAGTGTTTAAAACACCCGGCTTTTACTCTTAAACTGAAACATTTTCAAATGTTACCCTTTGTTTGGAAAACTCATTTCAAAGAGTTTTTTTCTTTTCCTTTGCAAAGAGAACATACGCTAACAGTCGAAAACATTTATTGATGTGTGAAAACCCATTACGGTTAAGTTACTTTGTACAATGACATCATGGGAGGACAAGTTTTTACAATGTAGTTTGTCATGAGTCACGACTGCAGAAGCAAGAACGCAGAGGTAGCTGGGAGGATTAGCCTTGCAGATATACAAAAAAAAATTAATGAGGTAAAATGTGTAATAAGTTTGGAATGTTCACACAATCAACATTTTCAGTCTTCAACCCGCCTGAGAATTGAAAACAAACATTTGTTTGAGGTAGTTTCCAAGGTACAGTACACGCTTCATGTCATTTTGCTGCCAGGTTCAAGATTCAGGCCTCCATTTTCCGTTTTCCATACAACTCGTCCTGTTCAATGTAGTCAGGGCAGGTATCGAACCGGTTCTCGCTGGTTGAAGGTGAGAGGCAGACTGGACTGACCACCATTTAACACAGGACTGACAGAACAATATCGACAACCATTTCCGTCAAAGGGTGATTTAGAGCCTTAAATGACTCAGCCATTCAGTACATGATTCGGAGCTGTGAGGGGATGACTTAAGAGACTCGAAGCCCCAGCCATTTTGCTACCATTTACCTGTAAGGCATAAATTCTTACCACCCTTCTAATGCTCTTTTGAGGATTTCACTTGGTCAAATCCGGAACAATGTTGTTAATTAGGAAACAATGTTTCATCATTGCGTTTTAGCAATGCAGCTAACGCTACAAGGAAACCACACTATTATCTGCAATAATTGCTCCACGGATTGTGCCAAGTAATTGTGTTCTGATTACAATAGGAGGCACCGCCCCCTAAATAGTGTGCACATACTGTATGGTGGGAAAATGGAAAACAACCTGCCCAGACAACCAAACAGTGACAACAAAACAAAACAACAGACAAACAAATCCACCAAATAAATTGAGAAAAGAAAACAACAGAGGACAAGGGTCAGAATTAAACTCTTTGTGTACAGACACAGAGCACCCGGTAATAGTAAGAGAAACGTGTAACTGTGTAATTAGAACAATTAGAACAGTTCACAGTACAGCACAATTCGAATTAATTTTACAAACTTAAATAATACAACGAAGACTGTGACTAAGTTTGTAATTGCTTTGCGGTAGCTAGTGTTGATTTCTGTTAGAATATCAACTTTGAACACCTTATATGTGTAATCATATTATTTATAATTACAATTACTGACAGTTAGTTCATTGCCCTACGTTCAACTGCAAACCTCCCCGAGAAAAGGGCCTTCGGAGCTCACAGCCATGTCGGGACGAGAGCGAGGATTGCGACCTTCAAACCAGTAGCCCAAATGACCTCAAAACTGAGGCCAAAAAAAAGGTTCGCTGCCCTTCCTCTTAAAAAGAGAAGAAGCTCAAGATAAAGATGGCAGACAAAGTCCAAGTATGAAGACAGCATCTCTGTCTCTCTTGAACCAAAGCTGAGGATCCTCTCACTCAGATCACGGAAGTTTTCCACAATTTTGGATGACCCAGCTAGCGGCGTTGACATCCAACTTGAAGAGGTTCATTACCCATTCATCCTTCTGAGCTCCCTCCATGAACTCTGCTAAGGATATCTGACCTGTGTGACACAAGCACATAAATGACTTCAATTCAAAGAAGCTTATGATTTCATAACATCATATTGAGAAAGTCCCTTGAGTCTTTATTTCAAATACAGTACATGCAGAATTTTAACCGTAGAATATCAGCATATTACAAGAACATGTTACTTGAGTAACGTATCTATTCCAATGATATTAAAATTTATTTTGAATGACATGTTCATTGCCAAGATTACTTCTCCTAATCGGTTGCCTGGGGTAAATGTTAAAATTCTATGGCACTATGCCTACAGTTAAGACGTTGTGGCATCCATTTCAACTTCAGTTCAGGTACCAAACATGCCCTGAAAAAGGCGACATTGGTGGTTTCGGGTTGTGGTGGGGATTCAACAGCAGCACCCCTCCAAATGAAGATAACACACTACCTGCGGACCCAAGAGGTGGAGCGAATTCATTCATGTGGCTCAAGATTGTAATCTTTGTAGACCTCTTGGGAAAATAGTTTCACGCTAGAGACTTTTGTTGCCATTACCCAATACCCGCCGTTGTGCGATAACATCATTTAGGAACAGCGGGACAAAAAGATGAATGCGCTTTAAAACATCCATCCATCCATTTTCCGATCCACTTTATCCTCACAAGGGTCACGGGGTGTGCTGGAGCCTATCCAGCTGTCTTCGGGCAGTAGGCGGGGGACACCCTGAACCAGTTGCCAGCCAATCGCAGGGCACACAGAGACGAACAACCAGCCGCGCTCACACCTATAGGGACGATTTTGAGTGTTCAATTAGCCTGCCATGCATGTTTTAGGAATGTGGGAGGAAACCAGAGTACCCGGAGAAAACCCACACAGGGAGAACATGCAAACTCCACACAAGAAGGCCGGTGCTGGAATCGACGGGCGAACCACTCTACATCGGGCCGCCCGCACTTTAAAACAGTGCCTTCATTTCCTGTGTCAGAAAGGAAGCACCTTTTCTTTTCATCTTGCTTTGATCTAATGATGTTTTCAATAAAGGTTCAAGAAAGGTTGAATAACGGTTAGGAAACTTGACAGATTCGTGATTTTTTTTGAAACAGTGGTTTATTGATAGTTTTACAGTTTCATAGGAAGAAAATGTTCAAGTCCGATTTCTATTTATTTTTTTGCCACAGGTAAAAATCGGAGTCCGTCCTAATCCTTTGTGACCATGTTCAAGTTTTTAAGATACGGTAATTATTTAAAATGTAATAAAATGATTGAGGATTTTGTGGGGTTTTTTGTGTCAATGAGGGAACAGGAAACACAAGTGTGCTACTCAAAACTGCTTTTTCAAATGCGTTTGTTCAGCAATTTATTGAACATGTTTTCAATCCAATTAGATAAAACACCACCACAGAATGCACCACCACTGTATACATAATCACTTGTACTATTCTTTTTCAAATGACAATGATTCCTTACCGTCACTATTCTGGTCAACCAGTTCAAAAATTCTGTCACATATTTCGGACGGTGTCAAATCCACATCGATTGTCTGGATCTTGATTTTGTAGAGAATCTGTGTGATAAATGTAATACAGGTCACGCACACACACACACACACACACACACACACACACACACACACACACACACTGGACTGCTGGCATATACAGTATCTCATAATAACTGTTGCTTATCCAAAGTTTTGAAATGTTGCAAAAATAAACCAAATGTTATGTTCGAGGTTAAAACAATCAGAACTATTTGTCAAGTAAATCAGTTCATATGATGGTGGGCTAATTTGACTTGGGTTTAGAGGCTTACTGTAAAGTCCAGCCAGATATAGATACCTAACCTAACTTCTCATCCAATAAAGTGAACCGACCAATAAGTGACTTTACAGCCGTAAGGTGTTGAGGGCAGTTCAATAATCACGGGGATTAACAAGGATTAACGTTATGAAACGTTTTTATCAAGACATATCACAGAATGGCAAAATATTTTTCGTTCGATGACAAAACACACATCACAGAGGAGTGGTTAGGGCTCCTGATTTGGCTTACCCTTATTAGCCGTTTCACCTCTTGCCGGTCTAATTTGCCATTCCCATCCTTGTCATACATCTTGAAAGACCACTTGAGCCTGTCCTCAAGGTTCCCTCGTAAGATCAAATGAAGCGCTGCAACATACTCCAGGAAATCGAGAGCATTGTCCTGTGATCAAAACCGAGATTTTACAAAGAGGGAGGTGGGTGCATGAACAACGATTATAACAATTCGACCGATTGTTTTGTTTTACTTCTTTTACCTGATTGGTGTCAAATGAGTGGAATATTGTCTCAATGAAGAGAGACTCCTCCGCAGAGGTGCTCGGTACTCCAAAGATCCTCTTAAACTCATGTAAATGCAACGCGCCGCTTGGACACTCCTTCATGAAAATTATGCACAGCTCCTGAATCTGTGATAAATCCATCTCCTCGCCGTGGCTTTCCTCCTGTCCCATGGCCTTGATTTGCCTTGGGAAAAAAAACAAAAACAAAGGCTGCTGAAAATGCTAAGATGTCTCCAGGTCACAAAGACGTGGACTACAACAGTCAGTCAAACAGCATGTCCAGGTTCTCTCTTTGCAGGGAGCAGCAAGGCAGTCTCTTAAGAGGACAAGCGGATTAACTCACTGACCACTTCATTGCTGCCTGACAAGATGCATGCTGGGAAGTTTACCAAATTGTCATCCTGGGTCGGTTTATATAATGTCCTGCCTGTTTTCCAGCTTTCCCAGGAGCAACACACCTGATTCAAATCATCATGATGGTTCTAATGTTGCTTCAGAGCTGGCTAATGAGCTGATAATCTGAATCAGGTGTGTTGCAGCCAGGAGAGACGGAAAACAGGCAGGACGGCGGCCCTCCAGGCCCGGAGATGGACATGCCTGGTTTATATAATTCAGAAATTCAGCTGTCGCTCATTATCAAATGCCTATCTGTGCTGTTAAACAGATCCATCACTCGGTCTCAGAAGTAATTGGATATTTGATGGACAAATTGCCCTCCTCTATGTAAATGAGCCTCATTGATAAGCCTCAACGTCTAATTCACTAACACCAACACGAATAGCCACGCGCAGTTTGAGTGAAGCATTACGTCTATCCACTGTATTCCTTCACCGCATCAGCCTTTGCGTGAAATATGGGCGTTGCGGTACAGCGAAAATGCCGTTTTGTTTACATGGAAATTGTGCGAGTCCACTTTCCAATAGTTTAACTACTTTCCAAACTCTGTCACTTCAGACGTGAGGCAAAGAGCAATCTCAAAAGCTATGAGGCGGATCAGTACTGCTACGAACACATTAATAAAGTTGGTTGTGTTTTGTTTTAAGGGGTTCAACACAGTCTTACTTAAAGCAGACAGAGGACCCTGCCAAATTTCCTACTTCCCATTTACCAAAAAATGAATGCAAACACCCATGTTCCTTCAGAGTAGCCTGTTAGATGAGCTAAGTACATGTCACTGGTGAAGAACAACGTAACTTCTGAATCCGCTAGCGCAAGTTTATTTGATATTTGAATAGTGAGTATTTTCCAAATGTCTATATGTGGCATTCACCATGTCTCATGAAAATGCCACGATCTGGAAATTTTGGTTGACTGGCGTCTGTGCAGTCAGCGTGACTTCATTTTCATAGCAGGGCAAATCGAGTCTAGCGTGTTTCAAGACCTGGTGTGCCCATCTGGGCATTTTGGCGAATAGAGTTGCTGCATCCCCAACGCACCTGCAAATTTGGTAACAGAAGGTCGTCTGCTCTCAGAGTAGAAACGGGTGCATCATCATTTTCGTGCAGGGCATATGGTTGAGTTCAGCGTGTTTGTGAATTTGGTAGATATGCTACACCTCACTGGATGTTTCCGCCACGCCCCCCAGCGCATCTGCAAATTTGTGTACAAAAAGTAGCTCAAATGTAGCGCAGTTGGTGTAATGCAGTGTTTCTCAAATAGGGGGCGCGTTTGACCTCAGGGAACATGCTTTTTATTTTTTTATTTTTTTTTTATTGTCCCAGAATAAAGTGCAATTGCACCTCCACTCCATTAGGGGCAGTGGCGCTCTCATTGGCAGAGTGTGCGGAGGGAGCATTCGCTCAGTGTTTTGTTTGCACTGAGAATGCGCGCTTTGCACACAGCACAGAGTATAAGTAGACACGAAGTCGACAGGCGGAGAGAGACGGAGATAAGACAAACGAAAGTCCCCCAAAAGCTAAGACGAGGAAATACGACGAAGCGTATGCAGCAAGGAAAGACCGGTGTCTAATTACTGTGTCTAAAAATGTTGGCAGCGGACAGCATGAAGCCAAATAAATTAAAGAGTCACTTCAAGACATTACACCCCGATCACGTTGATAACCTGCTTGAGATTTTTTTCAGCGAAAACGTGCCGAATATTGCCATCAATCATCCCGCTTTGTGACTGCTACTCGTAGCCATTAATCCAGACATCATCTTTGATTAAAAAAAACATCAGCACAAATTCTTTTATATATTTTTGTTTTGCTGGTTAAAGTTTTTTTTTAATATTGTGCTCTGAGATAATGTTGGTGATTAGTTTGATTGCATTATCAGTTATTGATTATATGTAATTTAATTTATCAGTATCGTATGGTTTGACATGGTCGATCAAAAAGTATTTATAGTTAAATAAAGGATTTAATTTTATTTTTGAATTTCAGATGCACTTTAAATCTTTTCTGTTACAGTTACTAAAGCTATTCTTTGTTGTAAATTGGTCCATATTTCTTTCTTTTTTATTCTCTTATACATTAATAAGGATGCAGTGTTATGCAAAGCTGTACTTATAGCAATTTTATAGACAACTGATACTAATTATAGTCATGCGGGGGTGTGGGGGGGGGGGGGGCGAGATGTTTTCCTCTTCCGAGGTGGGGCATGACAGAAAAGAATTGAGAACCACTGGTGTAATGTGATTTTGGTGTATTGGATTGAGGTGCAGGATGTGTGTGGTGGACATCATGGCATTTCATTCATAAATGTAAGCGTGGTACAATCCCTCTGAAACATTGTAGAAACCAATTTAAACGGATTGTGATAATTAGCATCTGAAAAAAAATATTTTCATAGTGCACCCTGTCACTATTGGGTTGGTGACGGGCGTGGTGGGGGTGCATGCAGAGAGCTGGGCCACCATGCATCCACAGTGACTGCACTCCACCAATGCACCACTGGTCGACGTAAATGTATTCCGTGCACATTGATCGACTGATCACTAATTGATTGATGTGCATATTGAAGAGGCATCCTAGTGGGATAGAGGGGGTGTACACGTCGAGAAAGGTGCATCCGCATATGAATATGAAAAACAAATATTTCGGGTTATGTATCACGGATGCCATCCTGAGTTGTACTTTCCATTGCGGATATAAGGCGATTTGGTGATCGACTGGTCATCATGTCTGACTCACAGTGCAGCGGTTGTGGGTTCGATTCTGGCTCTGACCGTCCTGTGTGGAGTTTACATGTTCTCCCCGTGCCTGTGTGGGTTTTCTCCAGTTTCCCTTTCCCTTGTAAATGTACTTCACTTGTATGTGTCTGCTTTGGGGCCAATCGCATGCATTTTACGCAGCTCTAGATAACAGTATCATCCATCCGAATGGAGTTGCACACATCCTCTGTCTAGAGACTGACGACAAGACTTCTATTTTTACACGTCGTAGTATATTGAGCATTTTCTTCATGATGTCATTCCATCCATCAAAGATACCTCACAAGACCTCAAAAGGTCTGAGGAGACTTTTTCTTCCTTTTTTTCCCCAACTACACTTCATTCCAATTGCAATAAATAGAATTAAAAATAAGCAACACATCAGCCCAGTGGTTTGATACTTCTTTAATTTAAATGTACAATCCTTATTGATACAAGTGTTTTTCCTGGTAAGCAAGGCTTGTTTGCTAGTTACCAGGTACTTGTAATCTCCACAATCTTATTTTAAGGGGAAAATGAAAAAGAAACTATAGTTTCCAGTACTAACAAATACTTTCTTGTCTGATAGTGTTCCCAAAAGGTTTTGCTGTTTGTGTTGTAAATGACATAATTTCCGGAATGTCAAAATAGCATTTGCAAAAATAAAAATTGGTTTCTCTAAATGCCCATTTGTATATATAGAATTTTTGTCTGGAGGGATGTTCTGTTCATTTATTAAAACTACTGAAAAGCACATTTGCAAGATAGATAAACTGTAGATAGAGATGTAACATTTGAATAGCAGAAAGTGGAGAACTTTTTTCCAGAAAATACACAGATGCAGTACAAATCCAATTTGGCGGGTGGTGACAAGAAAACCTCTGTGTGAATCTCAGCTTCACATATTTCTCCCACAGATATGAATTCACTGTTCAGTACTGCTGCTTTTATGGATATACTCGAGTCGGCCAGTCGTCGAGGGCAGTTTTGTGATTCTAGACAATGCCGAACTGAGCCAGGTCACTTAGTTCCATGTCACCAAATGCCTCCCAGGGACAGATGACTGCAGAGTCTGAAGAGTAGATGGACAAAAAAAATCATATAAAGTTAAACTAAACACCCCAAAATGTTCAAGACTCCACTTTTAAATGACTTACCCCCAAGTCCCTCCATCCCTGGAACATCATTGTCAAACCTTTTTGGGGAAAAGAATGTAAGTATCAATGTTTGCTGATGAATGTGTAAATTATGTCCAAATGTGGAATACAGAGGAGCTTACCCCTTCTGCCCAGCTTTGGGAGCCTTGCTCTTAAACTGTCTGGTTTCCTTCTTTTTGAATTTAGGAGGAGCAGCCTTGTTTCCTTGTTCTGCTGCTGATGCGTTCATCTTGGAAGCCTTTAATTAAAAAGTGGAAAAGGGAAGCCCTAATTTGACTGAGCTGCTCATTCAAACATGTCTCTTGTGTTGTGACCCCACAGTCATCATACTTTCATACATCTTATAAAACGACTCAAGTGTAACATTTAAACATATTTGAATTCATTCCAACATACCTGCAAATACGTTTGAATGTACTCGCAAGTACATTTGAATTAATTCGTCTGTCCAAAATTTTACTCCTCATTGGCAGTTTCACGCTTCCGTATTTTTGGATGGTTTTGATTTTATACTGTCAAATACGGTTTGTGGGAAGTGGCTTGCAACTACATACCGAATGTCTTCCAGCTTCGCCAGTGTCATGTGAACGATGTATAGAAAAAAAAGAAAGAAACAAAGAAAACAGTGGCCATGAATACAAGCGCACCAACCTAAAACCCTCTATTGTGGAGAAGTTATTTTCAAATAAAACCGTGTAAATACATCTCTGCCCTCTTTATATGGCACAATTGCCTGTTTAATTTTAAAAATTACATCGATCCGTATAATATTTATTTGACTATTATTGCTGAAAGATAAGCATGAGGGAATGTTTCATTTAGTAACAAAACTTTCTTTGACTTCTTTCATCCAGGAGATGCCCCCATGTTGCTTTCACTGAAGCACCAACGTTCCAAATCTATTTCAGCACAATTTGAAGGAAAGACTCAATCAACACTTCATAAAGCATGTGTCCATCTCGACAGGTCCCTGTCTGACGTCCCAAAGCAGAAGCTCCTCCTCCTCATCCATCCAAATAAAACTTTCCTTACATGATTGTGTTGAAAATACTCGCCATCGTGTTGCATTAACTCTTATTCGCTGATTCTTCTTTTGTGCTTGGGCTTCTTCTCACTTTCCACCTTTGGCTGTGCTAGAGCGCCATTTCAGACATAGCATATCGTGTCTTCAGCGTCTTGTGGGCACACACGTTAAGTGAAGCGTTTCCGTGTTTACGAGATCTTTTTTTTTTTTGGAGGTACAAAAAAAAGGCCAGCAGGTCTCAGTCTTAACTTGACGAGATGAGAACGTTTTCATATTTAAATGCTATTTGTGCCAGTGCTGAAGTCAAAAGGAAGCTGCAACAGAATTAGTGGGCATTAGAGGCCAAAGTTTGCTTCTAACGAGATTACTCCGCTCCATCTCATGTTCTGTGACAAAAGTGGATGAGAAAAAGAGGCATCTATTATTCACCAAATGATCGAACATTCTGACCACATACCACCAATTTAACATAACCCCTCATAATTTCTTGATATGGCAACGCAATGTTGGAGCAAATTCAACTTTTCCACCGTGGAGCGTGGTTTCAAATTTTCGCATATTGAAGGCCCCCCCAATCACTGCGTGGTCTTAACGAATGACATTTCCAATAGGAATTTTTACCCACAAGCCTCTTTTTCACGGTCTCACAGACTATGTGTTTTTATCTTATTGTCCTGCTTACAATCTTTACAAATAACTTTCAAAATAAGTTTGATTCTGGTGAAAATTGTAAACTTGAAAATATATATTTTTTCAACATTTGTTGGCTCATTCATATTCAAGTCCACGACAGAGCAGTTTAGTTTGACTCTGTACACATTACTTTGAAAATTATATTGATCATCAAAGAAGAAATGTTACATTTGTTTTTGAGAAACACTGAAGACAGGAACAATTGATACCAGTTTTAATGTAATAAACATTGTATATCATCATATTATATACTCTAAGAAATACCACATTCGACATAAATACTTGATCAGATGTTTACATAAAAGAATCAGTATGGGAAAATAACACCCCAGAAAATTGACTTACTTGTTGTTTTAGGAGTGCTGTATTCCAAAGAAATTTCTCTTTGCAGAGAAGAGTCAATAAAGTAGCTGCAAGACAAAGACTGAGCCTTCTTTCTTCTTGCAGTCTCTCTATTGGTCACCTCATCATGTTCTCACCTTACTTTTATAGCCATGGTTTAAGCACCTCCCAGCAATGGTTAAGTGACAGATTTGGTGGTCGTACACCGAGTGGTGTTAACGGGTATTTTGAGTGTTGACCTAAAAGGGGGTTTAAAATTATCAAATCCAGTTATCCTCGGTTCATCATAAGGTAAATAAGCCACTGCGGGCAAACCCTGAAAGAACAAATAAATAACTACGAGGTAATTCAGTCAGTCAAAATTGTGGGCTTTCTCATTATGTTGAAAGATTGACAAGTACTAAATCTAGTTTGAAACCCTACACGACTAAAATAAAATCACATTTTCTTGGACTAAGGCCCTCTTCGTGTTCCTCGCTATGGCTCCTTAGCTGTTTGGTGCTATGCTGTACAATGGCTTGAAAATAAATTTCTTCAACCCAAAATCTATTTTTGAACAAAAAGTATTTTATATACTGGTAGCTCATGCCCATACATTACGCAATGTGAAAAGTGTGATGTCACGAAGGTCCTACCCTTAACTGACTTGAGCTGGATTATCTATACGGCTGTCTCAAAATATGCCGCTTTAAAGACAGAGGTTATTAAAAGTTTGCTTTCATAACGACACTAAATTAAAAAAACAAAAAAAACAAGCGTAATTTTCTTTGGACACAGGTCCCAACGTGTGGCAAGAGACTTTTCTTATGATCTAATAAAGTGTATTATTATTATTATTATTATTACAGCAGGGGTGTCAAACTCATTTTTGGCGAGGGCCACATTTTAGTTACCGTTTCACTTGGAGGGGTGTTATGACTGAAACCATATAAAGAAGTCATGAATAACTGTTAATTCAACTATTGTTTTAGTTACCATCATGAGGGGTTTGGTAGCAAGAAAATCATTAGAATAGATCTCTTATTTATTACATATGAGAATTTGACATTTTGGTAGACATTTTAGAAAGGATCATGGAAGTTGACATCTTTGAGCTGTTTTCGTGGGTCACTTAAAATTATGTGGTGGGCCAGAACTGGCCCCCGGGCCTTGAGTTTGACACCGGTGATCTACAGGTTTAATGGAACCTTTACTCTTTGAGCTGTTATAGCATACATGGCAATGGCGAGTGATGAAAAAAGCGGAAGGGGCGTGGCCTGTCCGGGGCGTGGCCTGAACGGGGCGTGGTTACTTACAAAAGTGGCACTAAACATGCTGAAGATGAAGTGTATTCAATTAACACACTATTTGAAACTTTAACAGAAAAAAAAATCCCAAGATTGTTCACTATTCTTTTAAGTGAAAATTTGTGCAATTTTGCTTATGCATTCCTAGTGAGCACCAATATGTAACTCCAAATTTGCTGCTCAAAATCAAAACTAAAAAAGTAAACACATTCCCTGTCATATTTAAGATTTGTTCATGACTTGTATTCATAAAGTGTTGTGTAAATGTGATAAAAAGCTGTTGATTCTTACCTCATACAGTGATAGTGAATATTTATTATGCATACAATTTATTATGCATAACCGTGCTTTATTATCCAAGACAAAACGTGAATTATCAATATGAATATAAAACGCAAATAAAAACAAATAAATGTTATCATGCTGTTGCTACAAATGCATACCAAATAAAATTGAA